ACGTCTTCACTCTCAACGTTACGAGTTTCCATAGCTTCGGAGGATAATTGATTGGTTGAAGTCAAAGATTCATTGGAAAACAAAGTATAAGATGAAGCCATAAGGTCCTGACCTTCAGCGATTATCTCTTTTTGTTTTTGTTTAACGTCAACTTTTTTGTTATTATTATTATTGAAATTATTAACGTCATTATTATTATCAACATAGCTAACATTATTAATATTATTATTAGAATGAAGGGAAAGATCAACTTTTGGAGGATTCGTTAGAGAAGCCGGCTTCTCTATTTGCCCAAGATGTGATTTAGGAGGACGAGGATCAGAGGTAAAAGAATGACTATGGTCCAACCTTTCAACGAATAATTTATTGTTATTCTTGTCGTTTTCTGGTTTTCCAGTTGACATTGTTGAAAGTCCAGTAGTTTGAGTTAAATATTCCTCTGCAGTTATGTTGCTACTTTCATTTACCTTTGTTTTCTTATGACCGAATTTCTGAAGCTTGCTTTTGATGTTCAATTTTTTAGCCTTTGAAAGGTTTTGAACATTATGATTTCCGTCATTTATCAATGATGTAGGAGAAGATGATGCAGAAAAAGTTGGATTAGAAGCAGGATTAGAGTTGACATCAGCCGTCGGCTTTATTCGAGTATCACTATAGGATTGTTTTTTAGTTTTAAGCTTGCCCAAACTTGACCACCAAGAAGAATGTTTCGTAGATTTATCAGAATGTGAAATTCTTTTAGGTTCATTTTCCACACCAGAGGCGTTAGTATCTAAACATGTTGGATCTATATTGACAGAAGGTTGAGCAGGAGAAATTTTACTTGTTGGCTTTGCGCCAGAAAAAGTATTATTCGTGCTAAGAGTTAAAGGTTCAGACATCACTTCTTTAAATCCAAAACTTATGGAGTTAGATAGATCGGTGGATGAACCTAAAGAGTCAGAAATAGGAAAATCTTTTGATATCATAAGACGAAAATCATCCTTTGGTGGAACGGGAAGGGAAAAATCTGCCATGAAATATAAAGGAAAGTGGTATGATTTCGTTAAATTAATGAAACGTCGCTTGGACGGAAATAGTAATTAAGAAAACGTAGCAAGTTAGCAGGGAAAGTAACTGCCGTTTTGCTGCCGTGAATGATTAATTAAATGCAATTGAGTAGAATAATAAAATATTATAAGTTGTGTTAATAACTATAAGCATGATTTTCTGCTGTGCTCTATATAATGTTGTACTGTATATCAAGTTCATGTAGAAACGAAGCTGCTGGCGAATAAAAGGTTGAAGAAAAAGTTTAGTTGATTTTCACATCTATGGAAAATGTATATTCTATATATAAAAAAATATGTGGGTATATATATATAAAACAAGATTGCTTTTTAACAGGAAAAATAAGAAACATTAATGATTTTCATAGTTTTCAATTTATGGAAGCCGTCGAGAAAAAAAGGGGAGAACCTGACACTGCATATGGTTTGTATGCGCGAGCACATCAATTCGTCCACTCAAATTTGGTAACTTCCAAATTTGGGTATGATATACAAGTCATTGAAACGTAAGCAACACAGATCAATCGCCTAAGCCACACGTGCAATGTTTTCGACCTCATTTAGATTGTGCTCTCGTATAAGGCGATGTTAGTTTGTTTTTTCCGTTATAATTGGGTTTTATATTTCAATAAGAATATCTTTTCAAATGCTACCCACCGCCTTACTCGTTCAGCCTTCGAGGTATGCAAACGTTCTTTCGGCACTCATGCAATGCTTACTCCAGCTGAACCGCGTATCTTCGGTCAACCTACTCCTGAAACACACCCTCATTTGATGAAACCGGGTGAAAGTAATAGATTTATATATTATGATATATGATGATTATGAGTTTTTATTTCTTTTTTTATTTTATTTTATTTCAAATTTTTGTTAGCGACTAATTTTTAATGTTTGTTGATTGTATACAATGATAATTATAGTAACACCAGGTATTACAGCTATTGAGTACGAGCTACGAAGAGCAAAGTTAATGGATAGGCTATCAGAAAATAGTGTTGCAATTTCATTAGGATATCGCATGCGATATATGTCAAACAAAGTATTGTTCGTATAACATAAACACCATCATCACCTAATTTTTATCATGTAAAATAAGTTTTTTTCCTTTTTTTTTATAGTTATCCATTCCATCAGAATACAGACTTTTTTTATTTATGTGGTATGTAAGATTCTAATTAAATAATTAACAATGACAATGACAATGACAATGAATGACAATAACAATTCCTATTAAATAAATGTGTGTCTGGTTTTAGGCTTCAATGAACCGGACTCTGCTATAGTTCTAG